CTCCAGTCTACGAGTGATGTCCACATACGGCTCCAAACCCTCCTAGATTAGACCACGGCATGGTCCTCCACAGAATAATGGGACTGTCCTCCTGGTCCACGGTTGGCTCTCGGCTACTCCCCCCAGCGCTGATGGTACTGGGAGGTTTTGGTAGAGAGCTTGGACTGCAGAACACATCGAGGACGATGTTAGACAAGAAAAAAAACACTGAAGCACAGGAGAGCTGAGTCAGCAAAACACACAGGAGGATCTACAGAGGAGTCAGTCAGGAGAGCAGGAATCTCTGGAAGTAGAACTGAACTACTGGAGAAGCTGGAGAGTCGCTGCCACACGATCTGGCACCAGAGTGGAGGAACGTCCAGGGTTCTACGGAGCAGCTGATGATCTGGGATGAGCTGCAGGTGTGCATGGAGCCACGCCTCAGTAACCCACTGGAAGTTATCCACTCCCAGTTATCCACTAGTGAAGTGATAGAGAACAGAAGGCCCAAAGATCTTCATTCTGGTGATATTTATCCAATGTTTACCTTCTAGTTTCCATTTTAAAGATGTCTGTTCATCATCTGTCTCTGTGCTGATGTAGAGTCTGTGTAGGACATCATCAGTAACAGACTCTTCTGTGGTGCTGAATGTCTGGAGGAGACCAACAGAACATCTCACACCGGCCACCGCTGTGTGTCTGTTATCAGGTGCTTTGTCTGTGTCGGCCGTTCACAGGGATTTAAAACGTTTTTTTACACGTTCTGCTGTTGACCAAGCGACGCGGAAGCAACAAAGAGGCTGAACAGACGACTGTGGCTTCAGGTAGAGCTCCGTTTGATCCTCCGTTTGGGGAAATAAACGGACCTGCTAGCTGCCCCCATCAGCTCAGCCAGGAAAGCAACGGCAAAGAGAAGACAGGAGGAGAATTTCAAGTGTGTGGAGGCTGGTTCATGAAGATCACGTCTCAATCCTGACTACCTTAAACCAGGACACTCGGCCCGACTGCGAGATGCTCAAATGATAGTCAGAGTTTAGTCAAAGAGGCCTTATGAGGTCAGTACA